AGCAGCAGCAGTCAAACCAGGAGGACCAGGTAGCAGCAGGAGCAGTAGTCGAACCAGCAAACCCAACAGCTGCAGCAGCAAACGGACCAGGAGACCAAGGCAGCATCCACAGCAGAACTTGAAGGACCAGGCAGCAGGAGCAGCAGCAGAACCAGCAAGCCCAGGCAGTGGTATCAGCCAAACCATGTGTGCCAGGAGGCAGTGGCATCAGCAGAAGCAGAGCGCCCAGGAAGCAGCAGTTGCAGTAACAGCATTTGCAGTTGTAGTAGTAGTGACGTAACGCTATCATAAGAGGCAACATCACTGTTTGGAAGGAACTGTGCAGCAGTACTGTTTATTTTACCCCACAACACCTGTGCTGTGTATGTGTAAGTGTAGGAGACAGTAAAACACAGTGAAACATAATTTTATAAGACATTTCCACCACCAAAAATGAAAACACCCATTTAGCCTTGAACCAGTAACAAACAAAGCGTAGCACAAGCAATGTTACATGGGACTGCCGCAAGCGACACCGTCCACCCCAGATCCCCGAGTGAAAATGGAGGACAACGGCATAGAGAGCCCTCCATTGGGGATCTGTACCACCCGTTGGCAAATGGGGGCGCCAAGGCGGATCTAGGAGGTGGAGATCCCCATTGGAGGAGAAGAGGTGGATGGTATGCAGCAACACTCTGTACAGGGTATGCCATTTAGCCATTCTAAAATTTGAACTATCCATGTTGTACAGGCGTCTCAGGTTGTTGGGCATAGGATCCCGCGGGAGGTATGGGATCTTGGCGTCAGCATGAAATTCCGTCTGAGCAGGGGTAATCTCAGACAGGATTCCGCCACACATATGCGTGTCTTCCAACTGATGCGTAATGTTGGGTCTGAGCACTGTTGTTTAAGATGTTGGATAGCAATGGTAAAAAGCTGAACTTGCACCACATCCCCTGTTCAGGTTGGTCAGCCAGACCTTCCTGATTGGCCCAGATTAACAACCTCAAACAAAGATCTCATTGTCACCGAAGTCAACCTGATTTCATTCACTACAGTTTCTGATTAGAATATTAACAAGGGTGATAATAATCGTTACCAAGTTGTGAGCTGTAATCGTGAATTTGCAGGCAGGAAGCTAGAAATTGGTTGGAAAACGTGATAAGGGAGAAGAGTGAGTGCTTCCTTCAAAAGGTAAAGTGCTTTTCTGAAATTAGGGATTTATACAGGATAAACGTCTGAAGTAGCTGAAGATGTACAGACAGTTCTGAAATTGATACATGCATCAATTAGTTGTGTTATTGAAAACCTTACGCTTGTTTTGGTGTTTTGGCAACTAGCTGGAATCAGCCAATTAATTTAAAACAAACACTTAGCGATTGAAAGCCAATTGAATTTAAATCTGCTGGATTTGACAACCTTGTACCAATGCTATTGTAAGAAAATTGATATGCCATTCCGGATATATAAGGAGAGGGTTTTTGAAAATCGGGGTGAGAGCGAAATGCCATCTGAGAAATTAGTATCTAGTTCTCACAAGAAATCGCTAAGCTTTCTATAAAATCGCCATCTATCCATAAAAGCTACCACAGCACATCTAACTAAGAGTCCTCAGAGAAGTCTTCACATGGCAAACATCTGATCGCCGGATCAGCGGAAGAAGCGTGTTTATGACTTGAGAACAGAAAAAGAACGTTATGTAGACTTTGAGAGACGAAGTTTTAATTTATTTTATTATTACCTGGGTTTATATAAGTGGGACTTGAGTTTCTTGGAACACCATACCACTAGAATTTAGTTCAGTCAGGGAATAGCTAGCAGGTCAGCGTGAATTGTTCAGTTTGTTAGTAATTCTACTAATTTGTTCATGGTTAGGGATAAATAAATAAATTGTAACTTGTTATTTATAAAGTGAATGTAAGGGATTTTCTTTCACTTTACCTCCCCTTCTCCGTAACAGTTTGGAGGCTCAGTTCCGGGATCAGGCCGACTCCTGTATGGGACCTGAACGGATTTGGACAGATTTAAACAGACTTTGAGTTAGTGTCCTAGATCTTTAAATAAAATGTAGGTGAGAAAAATCTGTTTAATTTCAGTTACGTGTGGTTCGTTAAATCAAAAATGAGTGAAATGTCTCTTAACATTGCTAAAGAGGTTCTGGGATTTGAAAATGCTTCCAAAATTACCAAGAAAGCTTAGAAAAACCAAGGAAAGATATACTTTTAGAATTAGCAAACAGGCTAGAGCTGCGTTTATGTAGGGACAAGAGAGAAACTGAGCCAAAGAGGAGTTAGTCAAACATATCAGAAAGACAGGAAAGTGCAAGGGAGTTAAGAAAAAAAATTGCAAGTAAGACAACCGGGGTTAGAGAATTAAAGGGTGTTGAAACAGTTGAACTGCGGCTACAAGCAGAGGAAAAACAAAAAGAAAGCGAGAGAGAGAAGAGAGGGGAAAAGAAAGAGACAGAGAAGTGAGGAAAAAAGAAAAATAAGAAATGGCAAGAATGTTCGAGTTGGAAAAGATGAAGTTAGAACTAGAAGCAAAAAGAATTCAAATGGCAGAAGGAAAGACACAAGATACGCGTGAGGATGAACAAACTCATCATAGCCAATAGTCTGGAAGGGATATATAACAAAATGTCTGACCATTACTAAAACTCAACGAAAAAGACATTGACGCCTGTTTTATTTCCCCCGAGAAATTGGCTAGGCAGATGGATTGGCCAGAGACTGTGTGGATAGTGGTAATTCAGGCCAATATAGTAGGCAGTGCTAGTGAGGTAACAAGGTGTAGAGCTGGATGAACACAGCAGGCCAAGCAGCATCAGAGAAGCAGGAAGGCTGACGTTTCGGGCCCATTTTCTGAAGAAGGGTCTAGGCCCGAAATGTCAGCCTTCCTGCTCCTCTGATGCTGCTTGGCCTGCTGTGTTCATCCAGCTCTACACCTTGTTATCTCAGATTCTCCAGCATCTGCAGTTCCTGCTATCTCTGAGTGCTGTTGAGGTGTTTGCAGCACTATCAGGGGAGGTTTAAGGAGACTATGAAGGAGTGAAGCAGACTGTTTTCAGTGCTTACGAACCTGCCCCAGAAGTGTGCAGACAATGATTCAGAAATATAAGGAAGGAACCAGGTGAGATTTTTGTCGACTTCGAGAGAATTAACACAGCAACTTCAACAGCTGGGTGAGAGCATTAAAGATCAAAAACACATATGCGAATCTTAGAGAAATTATTCTGCTGGAGGAATTCAAAAACGCACTTCCAGAAATGATAAAAAGTCATGCTGTGGAACAGAAAGTCCAAACAACGGGAAGAGCAGCTGAAATGATGGATGAATGTGCATTAGTGTATAATTCGAAATTTAGCTTCCAAAAGCAATTTCCCTCCTCACTCCTATCTGTCTTCCGTAGGGGTCACTCTGTCCACGAATCCCTCGTCCACTTCACACTCCTCATTAACCCCACCACCCCCAGCACCTTTCCCGGAAACTGCAGGAAGATCTACACCTGCCCCTACACCCCCTCCTCAACTCCATTCAACGCACAACACAAACCTCCCACATTAGACAGGGGTTCACCTGCACATCCGCCAACTTGGTTTACTGCATCTGTGGCTATGGACAGACCACCCCTACATCGATGAGACCAAGCGGAAGCTCGGACGCAGTTTTGTTAAGTATCTGCTCTCAGTTCACGACAAAGAAAAACGCCTTCCAGTCGTGAACTATTTTAACTACCCCTCCCACTCCCTGGGTGACATGTCCATCCTGGGCCTCCTCCAGTGTCACAACGATGCCACCCACAAACTGGAAGAGCAGCATATTCTGCCTCAGGAGCCTACAGCCCCGTAGCCTAAAGATGGATTTTACCAGTTTTAAAATCTCCCCACCCCCGGCCTCATCCCATGTCTAACCCTCCCTCTCATCCCCGCCACCTCGACCTGACACAACCAGTCCATCTCCTCTCCCACCTGTCCGCCCCTCCCACATCACTGAACAATTCCCACCACTCCCTACTTGCATTCACTTATCACCATAACACCTACCTTCCCCAGCCCCGACCCTCCATTCTCTCTTTATTGCTGAGCTTCCTTCTCTCTCCCGGGTCCCTAAAGAATACTTTCCTTCTCCTCTGATGCTGCATGGCCTGCTGTGATCCTCCAGCGTTACACTGTGTTATCTCTGACTCCAGCATCTGCAATTCTTTCCATCTCCAGGTGAATTTGCTAGACAACATTTGAAGTTGACACAGCATCAAATGAAGGAAAAAGCAGATAAGCAACCTAAAAACCTTACGTTTTCCCGTGTGGATAAAGAATTAGTGTAGTTACTACTGGTAGGAGATCCATTTAAAGCAAGGTTTAGTAGTCAATATCGGATTAAAAATAAATTGAGTTACGTGAACAATGTGGTAAAGATGCCAAATAGGAAGAAACTTCATCATGTTCATCGTGTGAATGTGCCAAATCCTTACTATGACAGGGACAGGGAACCGGAGACGCAATCAAATCCAGCTAATTTGGGTTTTGATGTGCCACAAACTAACTTCAATAGTGAGGAAGTCCTTAGTGAAATGGGTAGGACAGTGAACTATTTGTCTCGGGAACAGAAAACTGAATGGAAAGGCTGCCTGCAGCAATATGATGCCATATGTAGGATTAGAATCATAGAAGCCCTACAGTAGGGAAACAGGCCATTCGATCCAATAAGTCCACGCCACCCCACTGAAGAGCATCCCACCTAGACCCATTCCCCTACCCCTGTATTTCACATGTCTAACCCTTTTAACCTAAACATTCCTGAACACTATGGGCAATTTAGCCTAGCCAATGCACCTATCCTGCACATCTTTGGACTGTGGGAGGAAACCCACGCAGATACAGTGAGAATGTGCAAACTCCACACAGACAGTCGCCCAAGGTTGGAATCGAACCAGGGTCCCTGGCACTGTGAGGCAGCAGTGCTAACTACTGAGCCACCGTGCCACCCCAAACAAAGTTGATGGAGTGAAAACAGCACTCGCCTCGCCCCTGGGCGGATTTGAACCACCAACCTTTCAGTTAACAGCCAAATGCACTAACCAATTATGCCACAGAGACTGGCAAAATTGTGGAGGACCACTGTTATAGTACATGAGGTTGACATAGGCAATGCTGTTCTGATAAAACAACACTCCCACATGCTTAATCCTCTCAAAGCCACACGGGTACAGAAGGAAGTGAAAGTACTGCTCCAAGAAGACATCATTGAGCTAAGTCAAAGCTAGTAGCGTTCGCTGATCATGTTGGCTCCCAAACCTGATTGTACTTAATGATTCGACATTCATTATTGGAAGGTCAATGCCATAACTAAGTCGGACTCATGCTGGAAGGCAGTGTGGAAAAAGGTAGACAAGCTGATTACATCACAAAGTTAGTCTTAACTTCGTGGTTAATGGCAAGTACCTTTGTGGGAGAGAGAAAAACAGGTTTCTGCATTTGCAAACCGAAATGGATTGTATCATTTTAAAGTAACGCCCTTTGGGATCAAGAAAGCACTAGCCTCATTTCAAATACTTATGAACAGAGTTGTGGCAGGATTGAGGATTTGCACCGTCTACATCGACTATTTTGTGTTCTTTAGCCTTTAGTGGAAAACTCACATGATGCATTTGGCAGAGCTCTTTGAAAGAATACGGGAGGCAAAACTGTTTATAACTTTAGCCAAAACTGAATTCGTGAGGGCAGAAGTGACGTTCTTGGGACACAACATGGAGAATGACCCCTAGGAAAGTATTGACGAAAGTTATCGAGGAATGTCCAAGAACATCCTCGAACAAAGAGATACTTCCATTTTTGAGATTGACAGATTCTACCGGACGTCAGTAGCATGGTGGCGCTGCGAACGGATTTGCTATACAGGAACATGAGATTGCGGTGGACAGAGAAATTCCAGGAGGCATTTGAGAATTTAAAAGCCATGTTAACCACTGCAACAGTTTGCCACATCAAATTTCATGAAATTCTTTTAAATCACTATGGATGCCATCAATGTAGGGTTTGGAACTCTGTTAAAGCAGGAAGATGATGGCAGAATTGAAAGACCAATTGCTTATTTTTCAAAGAAGTTTAATATCCACCAGGGAAAATACTCCACCATTGAAAAAGAATTATTGAGTTTGGTACTGGCCATACAACATTTTAACATTTATGTTACAATGAATGTTTCAGAGCCGATTGTGTATACAGACCACACCCTTCTCAACGTTTTGGAAAGATTAAGGACAAGAATACGAGACAATTTCGCTGGAATCTTATGTTGTGGTCCGTTACATTACTGGTTGTACATGTTACAGATCGTAAAATTGTTATTGCAGATGTGTTATCGCGGGTTGAAAAGATAATATGTAGATGGGATATAATCGGGAGGGTCCAATGTTATGTATGTATGCAGAATTAGCATGAAAGATGTACGTTTAGATTACCGAACGATGGATTTCGTGATAATGATGTTAAGGTAAAAAAAAATGAAGGATATCTGTTCATAATGACATTTGAGTTTTTTTTTTTCTTAAGGCAGGAGTTATTACGAAGTTTTGTGAAGTAATTGTGAATTTGCAGACAGGAAGCTAGAATTTATTTGCAAAAAAATGATGAGAGTAGAGTACGTGGTTTCTTTCAGAGGTAAACTGCTTGTCTAAGCTTAGAGTTAGTTCAGAAAAAGAGTGCGTCTGAAGATGTACAAACAGATCCGAAATTGACACATATATCAAATGGCTGTGTGGTTGAAAAACTTACGCCTATTTTGATGTTTGGCAACTAGCTAGAATCAGCCAATCAATTTAAACCAAGCACTTAGCAATTGAAAGCCAATTGAATTTAAATCTGATGGTTTTGACAACCTCAGGCCAATATTATGACAATAAAATTGAAATGTCATCCAAGGAATAGAAGGAGTGGGTTTTTGAAAATTGGGGTGAGAGCGTACTGCAATCTAAAAAGATATGCATCCAGCTCTCACTTGAAATCATTAAGCTCTCTAAGAACGCAGCATCTATCCACAAAAGGTACAACGACAATTCTAGCTGAGAGTCCACACAGGAGACTTCGCAGAGAAAACATCCCTGACAGCCGGATCAGCGGAAGAAAGGAGTTTATGACTTGAGAACAGCAGAAGAAAGGCGCACAGACTTTGACAGGCTATTTAATTTCTTATTACTTGGGTTTGTACAAGTGGGATTTGTGTTTATTGAAACAGCATTACAGCAGAATTTAATTAAGTTCGGGAATAGTTATTAGTAAAGAGGGAATTGTTCAGTTTTTTAGTAATTGTTATAATTTGTTCACTATTAGGTTTAAATAAATACATTTTTACCAGTTATTTATAAAGTGAATATCAAGGATTTTATTTAATTTAACCTCTCCTTCTCTGTAACAAAATGTAACTGTAAAAAAAATCTGAAAAGTATGCCAATGGGAAAGGTAAGAGAAGACAAGTGCAGTTTCATGACTGTGAAGCCCGACAATGGAGATCAAGGAATTAGTAGAACTATAAAACAACTATTTCAGTTTTGTCTTTCACAGAAGAAACAAAAACAAAATTTAAAAAAATCTCCTCAGCATTAATAGGAAAGCTAAGCCTGTTGAGAAAAGGGAAACTGAATGAAAATACTCAATAAACGCATTTGCAGAAATTATTGGAACTGAGAATAATGAGCATGGACAAAGTGAGTATAAGTTTATGAAATGTGATTCATATTTGAGAAACTGACTGAGAAATAAATTATGGAGAAGCAATGGACGCAATGTCTCCTAGTGTGCAAAATAGAAGCTCATGGAACTATAGCTAATATATGCACGTGGTTTTCGAATGGGAGGGCTGAGGGCAAATAGTGAGTCGGACTGAAACCTTTTTTTTGTTAGGAGTAGAAGGTTTTTGGAGTATCACACGAATTGCTGCTTGGAACCCAGCTTTCACAACACAAATCCAAAATTTTGTAGTGAGAACCAAATACAATATTTCCATGTCTGCTGACGGCACTAAACTATATAAGATTGTCATTGGTAAGGAGGATGTAAAAAAGGTCCAAGATGTTTAAGACAATTAGAGTGAATGGGAAATACGTGGCATATGAAAAGCAATGTGGATAGACTGACATTGTGCACATTGGTTGGTAAAATAGAATGGCTGCGTAGAATTTGAAATGGGATTCGTTGAAAAAAATGTTGATCTGTAAATGGACATATGCACTTTTTTTGGATGCAGGACAGTGACGTCGGAAGCCAGAAGTCAATGCTGGTAACAGCTTTAGTCCACCCATTCGAGACAGCACCAAATCATTAAGGGTAACATTCAAACGGTTTGTATCTCGTTGTGCACCTTTGATTAAAAGTAACATTGAAGAATCAGAAAACAGTTGGGAAGATAACTGGTATGTTGACCTTCATTTCAAGGGTTTTGAGTACGGGACTAAAGTTATCTTAATGTAGCTGCACAGGGCATTGTTGAGACCTCATCTCAAACATTGTGCAGGATTGTGTGCAGTTTTGATCTCCTTCCAAATAAAGAACAAACCTGGCATTAAGGGAGTGCAACAAGGGGACACCAGACTGATCTCTTGGAAGACAGGCTTGTTGTGTGAGCAGAGTTTGTGTCGACTGGGCCGAATTCCATGAGGTTTAGGAAGATGAGTGGAGATCTCAGTGAAATATATAAAACTCTGACAGGGTGAGACATATTGCAAGCAGGAAGAGGAATTTCCCTGGCACTGAATACAAATAAAACTAAACAAAGGTGGTGGGGAGAGAGAACAGATATACGGTGTGGAGATTGAAGATTGGCCATTTTTATGGGTTTCCTCCGGTTGCTCCAGTTTCCTCCGACAGTCAAAAGATGTGCAGGCTAGGTGGATTGGCCATGCTAAATTGTCCATACTGTTCAGGGATGTGTAGCTTAGCTGAGGTGGATCTAGGTGGGATGCTTTGTGGTTCGTTGCGGACTTGTTGGGCTGAAGGGCCTGTTTCCACACTGCAGGGATTCTATTAAAAGAAAGATGTGCAGCAGTGTACTAAAATGGGCGGAGCCTAAGTGGGTTGAATGGTCTACTCGTTTCCCGATATTTCTGTGTAGTCAGTGGGAATGCTCTGCAAATGTTCTCACAAGCTCTCAGATGTTAGAAAGGATGTCTCTGCAGGGTCGACAGGACCGCGTTTCCCAAACCATTTCCTGTTACCTAGGCTGGTGTGGATGTTCTGTCAGTTTAATCTTTGAAGACTTCTGAGTGGTTTGATATGAATAAGTGTCTCCCTTGGCTGTTTCAGAGACTATTGAAGGCTTTATCAAATTTATGTATGCGTGGAGTCACTTTTGGGCCATACCACAAAATCACTGGAGATTTCCTTCTGAAAGCATACTGATGCAGCAACTTGGAGTTTACAAGCGATATTGTTTCAAAGTTACTATTACTGACACCAGATTTTAGAGCTCGAAATGTTATTAATTGTTTTTAACTTCCACCATCTGCCAGATCATTAGCCTGGTCTGGATCAATAATCCAGCAATAGTTACACAACAGCACCATCTCCAAATGGGGTCTATCAGAAACTACAGTGAGCAGATTATTTCTGTGTTGCTTGACAGCTCCACCAATTGGTGAACTTCCACCAATTATATTATCATGAAGAGACGGACAGGACGTGGAATTTGGTCAGATTATAATTATTCTCCTCTTAGGGGACTGGACATAGTTGAGCAATTTTTCACATTGCCAGGTAAAAATTAGAGTTAGAGCTGGAATGAAACATCTTCCCCAAAACCACGGATTGTTGTGCAGCACATGTCTTCAGTCCTATTGCAGGAATGATGTCAGGGACTATTGACTTTGTAGTATCTATTGTATTCAGTTGTTTCTTGATGCCATGTATAGTGAATCAAACAGGTTGAAGACAGACATCTCCGATTTTGTGGACATCATAACGAGGGTGATGCGGATTATCAAACCAACTCTATTGGCTGAGGATGGTGCAGATAATGCATCCTTGTCTTTTGCTGCGATGCAAAGATTGTTCCATTATTTAGGATGCGAATATTTTTGGAGCCCTGTCCTCCAGTGCGTTGTTTT